GGTGGATTCGCATTCGAGACCGTTGCAGACCGGCAGAAAAATAATTGGGTCAAGGCCAAGAAGCGAAAGGAGCATGATGAGAAATTCCTGACTAGTGGCCTATGGAGCAAAAGTAGGCACCCAAATTATTTTGGTGAGATGACATTGTGGACGGGAATTGCTACTACAGCAGCAGGTGTTCTTGCTGGAAATTTGGGACAAGCAGGGATGGGCCTAAGTAATACAACTTACGGACGACTTGTGGGAGTCGCCATGTGCGCTGCATCTCCAGCGTTCACAGCATTTCTACTACTGAAGGTTAGCGGGGTACCGCTGAGTGAAACTAAATACGACAAAAAGTTTGGAGATGACAAAGAATACATAAGATGGAAAAGAGAAACACCAGTTATTGTCCCAAGACTTTGGTGATTCTTTGCCTGTGTAGAATTTACTGCAGCGACTCTAAAATTGTAAATCTCGATAAAGCAAGGTAACCAGACCGAAACTGCTGGGACAGCCCTAACCTTGAAATAAGGTTAGTATGTAGCAGATAATGAGCAATCTGTTTGGGACAAACTACATTATTTGATTGTGTATTTATTGTGCTATTTGAGTCTATAACTATTTAGTATATTGAGTTCAACTCTGTCCCAGGTCATACCTTGTACAGTGCTCCTACCCTTCTTTGTTACTTGAAAGATCATTGATATATTGCCTGAAATGAATAGCCATTCAGCTCAGTATACACCCGTAGAATTCAGCTTCCTTTTCCACGGAACCTTCTACCCAAAAATACCGGTTGACCTCAATTTACGTATACGAAAGGTTAGTTCAATGCAAAACGAAAGGTGTAAAAGTGAGGTATGTGTTATGTCGTCTGTCTCTATCGAAGAACATTATGAACCTAGGGTTCGTTGTATTAGCTGAGCCCTTGAGATAATGACTCAGCAACGGAGAGGTGCAACGCACTTAGTGTACCACAAGTAGAAATACTTTCCAACAAAGATAGTAATAAAGAAATGGTAGCAGTGGAAACTGCGTGCGCGGGAAAAAGTCTCAAAAAACCTTCAGCCCCAGTCAGGCGAGGCCTGGACACCGGAACCACATGAGGTGAGTATATTCATCTATATCTCCATTCTTTGTGACATTGGAGGGCAACTTGATCAAATTCACTATCGCCGTATCGGGTGCTGGGTATGCTCCGAAAACCCATCGGATGGCTTCTTCTCCATGATCAAGGGTTGGTGATGAGAAGGGCTTCGACTCTGCTAACTTATCTGATGGTGGTTAGCTTCATGATAGAGGTAATAGGCAGTTGTGTTAAGGTATGAAGACGATACATTCAGCGTAAGCGATTGGGAATCCTCATCGAGGTGAGGACTTTGTTGCTCAATCTCGGCTCTGCAGATTCGTGAGTGAGAGCTGGAGGCTCGTAGGGGGTACCACTGACAGATGCCGAGAACAGTACCCCGCTGCTTATGTCAAGTTATTTAGTAATGTTAATATTTTTTCTAACTCAGCCGACGAACCTATTGAATATGTAAGTCCTTTATATATACGGCTCAAAGCTAGCTATTTATCGGGTATTATATCCTTCCCTTTACCTTCCTTCCAGCAGTATCACTCTTGATAAGTCCTCGCTTGATCATATAATCAGAGGATTAATTTTCCCGCCAGACCTCCTCTCTTGTATCGCTAAAACGAATGACTGTGGGTAGATTCATGGCATGCGGAAAAGGCTAATAATCAGGGGGTCCGGGGCTCTCCTGAATCTGGTATGATGACTAAACTCGAAGACAAAGCTGCTCTTCATAGGAGATTCTAGGTCGGCATACCAGGGCAATTCACAAATGTATATACGCTAGAGGATAACCACCCGCCTTCCAAGTATTCATTAAATTCCTTACCACATTTCCACCTCAGAAGACATCGGTAGACGAGATTAAACTTCATAAAAGTCTAGGTAGAGAGGATATTCGATCAATTAGCCTGGCTAAACTTCTTTGGGGCGCCAAGCCGGCAAAGACGAACTCTTCACCCTCCAGTGATGCCAGTGTAATCGCCGAGTTGGCTCTGCATATCTGGTGTAGCCAAGAAGAATCGCATCGGAATGGAAGTCGAAAGCAATCTCAAACATATCTAAAATCAATGACTTCTCAACAATATGGGACCTATCTTTCTCACGCAAAGCTTTCAACTTACTCATATTACAATCCAGCTGGCCTCAGCGACTGAATAAGTAGCTACACTAATTGCAATCGGGAACTTGCCTTATCAAAAATCAGCCATCTCCCAGCACAAAGTTACGATGCTATGTATATCTGGGAGGAGAAAACTACGTCATCATAAACAAAGCTCGGATCTTGGGCTATGGAGGACCGTTGTTCTAATGAGGCTTGACATCTTGACGGGAGACAGGTAGCTAGGACGGGGGACGAACGAGTGGACATATGGCAAATGGACAAGCTGGGACTCATATTATTAAGTATTTACGACTTGGGGTGCTTATGGGCACCCAGGCTACGATATCGGATATTGCTAACGACACTTTTGCGATGGGCAATGACGGAAGGTGTTGTGATTCGTCTCCTAATCCTCATCTGTCTAAGGTAGAGTCTGAGTAGCCGGGACACCTTCCTGACTCGAGAAAGGGAGGACTGAGAGGCTATATCTCACGCTATACCTATATACAAGATGGCAAAGGCATTTTAGGGTAGCCAAAAGTATTTGCAGGTTTCCCTTTGGTGGAATATAACTGTTGAAGGAAGGTTGAGAGTCCCTAGCAACAAGGTCTTGAGTGGTATCAGGATATGCATCCACTATACGAGTAGTCCAAACGTCAAACTGAGTTATCTTCGTATATAGCCTTCTCCGTGTCATGCTCTATGAGGGCTAGGCGAGTGCAGCTGACACTCTAAATACAAGCCAACGAGAGAAGGCGCCGTGGTCCGCATCCTGGTAGTGTTCTCTGGTACAGTTTGAGGAGTCTACGTACCTACTCCGCATGGGAAGGAGACGTTAAAGTTAACATTTCGCGCGGGGAAAAGTCAACGAATGATGGAGTCATGTCTACATAACTCAGGGTTTTTGAGACGGTTCCCTGAGTGGGTATTCACGGATGAGGGTTGACTTGGGGTGAAGAAAAAGCCACAATAGCTTCGCAGTGGTACTTGCGAATAAAATCCGAGTCATGAGTGCTCTGGTTATAATCTAGTCATCTATGGTGTAATTTTTTCTCTGATATTATTTCATAGCTAGATAGCTGCATACGAAATTAAAAGCTGATTCCAAAAATGAAAGAGTGCTTGACTTGTGCCCGTTACGAATTATTATTCATTCATTTCTCTTGACACAAAGGGTTAGGTAAGTTTAAATTCCTGCACAAGTCACAAGCTAGTTTTTGGTTAGATACAAGAATAGTTTTCAGGATAAATGCCTGGACTAGTACGCCGGGGGAGATTAGGTTTGGTTTGTTCAGTAACATGCTAGGTAAAGTGACTACCGTTGCACTCCTACTGGAGCTTAAGCACGGGTTGGGCCAGGCCGGATCAGGTTAACTACCGTCAAGTACAAGTGCCTCGTCCCACCTGAATGACCGGACCACCTCAAACTTCACCCATGTATTGAATCATGTCAAGCCCAACCGTCCAGAGAACCCCCTTTTGGCGCGCAGAAGCGCAAATTCCTCCTCAGCCTCGGCCACCACGCGCCCGAGCCCTTGACACCTTCGCCGTCTATAACTTTTCCCTTCGGTTCATTCGCAGCTTTGGCTCATCTCAGCATCTCCTCATCTCATCCAGGGGTCGTTTTCTTCACTGGAGGCCTCATCCAGTCGCCCACCAAGGCCTCCTCAGTTTTTATCCCCTTTTAGTTCCTTCATGTAGCATCCCTCTATCCTTCAGCCAATATCATCGTCCAAGAAACTTTGTAGAATGTCCACCCCTCCGGCCTTGCCCCGTCGCTGCCGTACCACTAACCGTGGAGGTCGAAAACGCGACTGAGAGCTCAAGACCGAGGCACCGATGCCCAGCCTTTGACAAACGCTCTGGTTGGTATGCCAGCGAATTGTCGTGCGTATTTCGTCGGTGGCGATTCGTCGCAGGTCGATTTGTTGGTGCCCTTGGCCGAGGTGAGGACGCATCTAAGGTCGGTATCTCGACCGAACCTTCACACAGACTGGCAGTTGCAGAAGGTCGGATGTCCTCTTGCTTATTTTTTGGCGATTTGGCTTTTGGTGGTATGGGATTGCTTAGGTAGATGGTGAGATGATTGTGGAGAGGGCCGCGAGATGAGTTTGGCTGAGAATGAATTTCCAGAGAAAGGAAAATGAGATCTTGAAGGTGTCAGTTATTGTGATACGAACATCAGACAGGCTTTAGACTGTCTGCGGTTCGTATCTGGGATGCAGATGGTTAATTTCATTGAGTTGCGCAGTCGTGAAGTCTCTGCAAGCCAAATTTTCGATAAAAAATGAGTCAATACCACTCCTTCCGATCGCCAACTCGACGAAAACTTTCAAATTCCCCCTTTTTTGTGACTGAATCTCGGCTCTGAGGGAATATTTCACTCCCAGATTTGTAGAGAACACCGCTGATAGGTGTTTAGTCTTCGTCCTCCAAGGGGGAGTGTTGTACGGTTCACCCAGAAACACGCTTCACGAGATGATGGCCAAGCCTAATTAGGTTAGATAAACTTGGCCGTTACAATTGAAATACTCTTTCGTGCGGAGGGCAAAGGCTAGGATGAAAAATACTGACTCAACACTGATTATAATTTCATTTTAACAAAGCAATTCCTTGTTAAATTATTTACTCGGATAATAAGCTCAATATTTCTTAGCTCTACGATGGGTGCGAACGAGTAGGGCAAGCCTCAAGGCTAAATCTTGGCCGGCTCCACTAGTCTTACGTGTTAAAATATTGAAGGATTCGTCCTAGGACCTGAAATCAAACAAGTTAATGAATAAATGATGAGTCTAAGGGTAAGGATTCGTCTAGGATTATATGATCTAGGCTTGAAGACGGGACAAGGCTGTTTTTTCTTTTATTTAAAAATATTATCATCCTTTCCCAGCGCCAGATTATACATGACACGTAGGTCCTCTCTACCTACATGCCGAAAATACGCATGTCACTAGAACATCAACCCATATGACCCCTATACAGCTCCCCTCAAATCGTAAAAACTCTCACAAGTCCCTATCTGATCATACCCTTAGAGGTGCCGTTCGCCCTTCGGTATCACCACCTTCAGTCAACGAAACAATAGTAATTTGCGGGGGTTATTGCAGCAGGGGACGATCGTAAAAAACATTACTTGCGGGGCTCTTCTGATACCAATAACAGGAGTTAATCCGAAGGCATAGCTACTCCGCTTAAGCGTTCGAAGAGGGTAGTCAGTTGGGCGCCGCAGGCTTGTAGGTTCTTCAAGAAATTTAGTCTCTGCCTTTCTAGCCTCCTTCCAACTCTTTTCCGAGGTCTGCGCTAAATTTTCCGAAAGGTCCTGATAGTGTGGTTTCTGTGTAGTAGCATTGTCGACCTTTTTTATGCTATCTAGAGAACTAGGTGTTACGGCAGACTCATCGATAATAGAGGTCCTGACTAAGTACCTGAAGTATTAGCCTTGGCGCCCACAAACTTTCCTAGGTATAAAGCACCTCGAAAATATTAATCACTGAATGCCCGTCATAGACCTCTTCCTCCTCTCGCTTCATATCTCAACTACCAGTTCTCGCACTGGATTAGAGAGGAGCCCAATGTGCTAGATAGTCTATGACTCAAGTAGTACAATAAACACACACACATACCATTTCTCGCTTACATTGTCCCATTAGAGCGACAGTCCCCCAGAAGCCAGGACACAGTCTATGTATATTTTCACTTATTACACTACTTTTGTACATACTTAGCGTCGTAATTTGTGGTGAGAGATGGCCGGTGATTCATGAGGCAAGCTCCCAATTTAAATTCGGGCAGCTTCGTGAGTAGTCGTTGGGGCGAAGTTTTTCGTGACAAAATCGTGTTAGATTGGCATGAAAAAGGTAGAGAAGATATTGACGAGAAGTTGTCGATAATAAATACGATTTTGTCTGCTTTCGACTTCGATTCGGTTGCGATTTTTCATAGCTTTCCCAAACATGCAGAACATACTGAACGATTATATCGGCACTGTTGAAAGGTGAACATCTGATATTTGCCGGCTTGGACAAGGCTAGTTACACTGTGTGGTGATTGTTATGATCCAATCTGGCCCCGATCGTGCCTGGATTCTCAAGTGTAACGAAGGAGGCAGATAGCTGAGCACGTTGGTAGTTGAAGGAGACGGATAGGGGTGAGTGAGCAAGGCGCCGACAATGTGACCGAGTATAAACATAGGTATTTTTCTCCCGTTGGCCTAATTTAACGTATCGCACAACCATTCAGGTTACCGTCGAACCTCAGAAATGGCCACCATTGAGTCACCCGTTCACAATCACCTAGATTTCATGCGAAAAGCACTTGAGCAAGCACGTAAATCACCTGCAAAACCAACCAACTTTCGCGTCGGAGCATTACTAGTTGACAGTGACACGCAAACTATTTTATCTACAGGCTACACTCTTGAGTGTGAAGGGAACACACACGCTGAACAATGTTGCCTCATCAAACTAGCGTTTGACCGGAAAGTTTCAGTAGGTGATTTAGCAATTATGCTGCCAGAGAATACAGTTCTATATACCACCGTCGAACCATGTGTGCTTCGACTCAGTGGCGCTAAATCGTGTGTCGATCGGATTCTCAACTTGGGAAAAGCTATCAAAACAGTGTACGTTGGTCTGGCGGAACCGGCGCTTTTTGTGAGCGAGAACAACGGAATGTGCAAGCTAGAAGATGCTGGTATTAAGGTGGCTGTTATATCAGGCTTGGAAAAGGAAATTCTCGAGGTTGCCACCGCAGGACACACTACGTAGAAATGCCCATCGCTCCAGAAAGGCTGGCCGAGATTACCTGACTCCCCACCAGTCCGGATTCGATGTCGTCATCAGGTTAAGCTTTCGCTTACAATCAGCTTCAACCTACCGTTCTTCCCTGAACATACTGAGACGCCTTTTATCTGGAGCTTCACATCTGGATCAGACCTTCCGACAGCTAAAATGACCCTTCTTAGTTCTTTCCTTAAGGCTACCAACTACAAAAATCCTTTTCTCCGGTACTTTTCTTTGGCGCAAAACAAGTCTTCAACGACTAATCCGTTCCTTCTAGGACACTCGTCCCAGCTGTAGGGGCCGCATACGCACTTCAAGCTACCGTAGCAATCCCATCAATTCTTGCAAAGTCCGAAAAATTTTATGATGCTTCTGGCTCTATAACCTATCTTTCTGTCACCGCGCTCTCGCTCTGCCTTCCTATGCTTCGTGCACGTATTTCTGGCAATTTTGTGAACGAAATGAGGCCGGTGACGCTCAGTTTTAGCGCATTGAATTGGAGGCAGGTAGCATTAAGTATGGCCGTCACAATCTGGGCCACGAGATGTATGTTTTGCACAGTTTTCTATGATAGATATTTAAGCCGGGAATTTTATACAACGACTCACACTTTCTACAGTGGGTAGCTACCTTTTTCAGCGTATACTTGCCGACGGAAAAGACTCTCGCTTTGACGAGATAAAAAAGTCGCCTCTCAAGTTCCTTGGTGCCTTCACAGCACAGGCAACATGGGTTTCCATCTGCCTTCTGCCGGTCCTTGCACTTAATAGCATCCCATCAAAACTCCTCTCCACGCTACCACTTATCAAAGCGACAGATGTGCTTGGTCTCTCACTATTTGTCGGTGGATTCGCATTCGAGACCGTTGCAGACCGGCAGAAAAATAATTGGGTCAAGGCCAAGAAGCGAAAGGAGCATGATGAGAAATTCCTGACTAGTGGCCTATGGAGCAAAAGTAGGCACCCAAATTATTTTGGTGAGATGACATTGTGGACGGGAATTGCTACTACAGCAGCAGGTGTTCTTGCTGGAAATTTGGGACAAGCAGGAATGGGCCTAAGTAATACAACTTACGGACGACTTGTGGGAGTCGCCATGTGCGCTGCATCTCCAGCGTTCACAGCATTTCTACTACTGAAGGTTAGCGGGGTACCGCTGAGTGAAACTAAATACGACAAAAAGTTTGGAGATGACAAAGAATACATAAGATGGAAAAGAGAAACACCAGTTATTGTCCCAAGACTTTGGTGATTCTTTGCCTGTGTAGAATTTACTGCAGCGACTCTAAAATTGTAAATCTCGATAAAGCAAGGTAACCAGACCGAAACTGCTGGGACAGCCCTAACCTTGAAATAAGGTTAGTATGTAGCAGATAATGAGCAATCTGTTTGGGACAAACTACATTATTTGATTGTGTATTTATTGTGCTATTTGAGTCTATAACTATTTAGTATATTGAGTTCAACTCTGTCCCAGGTCATACCTTGTACAGTGCTCCTACCCTTCTTTGTTACTTGAAAGATCATTGATATATTGCCTGAAATGAATAGCCATTCAGCTCAGTATACACCCGTAGAATTCAGCTTCCTTTTCCACGGAACCTTCTACCCAAAAAAAATCAACAAAAATGCTAGCAATGAAAACTGCGTGCGCGGAAAGAAAACTCAAAAAATCTTCAGCCCCAGCCAGGCGAGGCCTAGACACCGGGACCACATGAGGTGCGCATATTCATCTATATCTCCCTTCTTTGTAACAGTCGAGGCCGACTTGATCCAATCCGCCATCGCCGTATCGGGTGCTGGGCACGCTCCGGAAGCTCATCGGATGGCTTCTCCTCCATGATCAAGGGTTGGTGTTGAGAATACTCCTCCGACTAGCTACATTACTCGCATGGTCTGAGAAGTCTTCTATCAATCATTCATTTTAGCTTGTTACCCGAAGAGCTTGTAAAGTTATGTGTAGAGTTCTGAAAGCACAGGATCAATGATGTAGTTCATGTAGTTCTCTCGTCATGCAGAATATAAACCTTTCATTTTTGGACTCACCTGTGCGAATAAGTCATCGTGATTGCTCCTCTCACAGGGGCATGATTACCCAGAATTTCATTGAACATAAAAATTGTGGGCGAATGCCATCAAGGACTTTTACCCGCTCCCTACACACCGTGATACAACTGGGGGACAATTCTCAACAACTGTCAGTGGTGTCCCCTACGAACCTCCTGCTCTCACTGTAGAGTCTGCAGAGCCAAGATTGAGTAACAAAGTCCTCACTCAGACGAGGATTCCCAATCGCTTTCGCGGTCTGTATCGTCTTCATCTCTCAACACATTCCCCTATCACCACTGTCATGAAGCTAACCACGATCAGATTAGATGGTAGGGACGGAGCCCTACTCATCACCAACACTTGATCATGAAGGAAAAGCCATCCGATAAGCTTCCGGAGCGTGCCCAGCAACCGATAGGGAGATGGTGGATTGGATCAAGTCGGCCTCTACTGTTACAAAGAAGGGAGATATAGATGAATATTCGCACCTTATGTGGTCCCGGTGTCTAGGCCTCGCCTGGCTGAGGCAACAAGGTTTTCGAGAATTTATCCCGCGCACACAGTTTCAATTGCTACCATTTATATATTTTTGGGTAGAAGGGTCAGTGGAAAAGGTGGCCGAATTCCACGGGTAAACACTGAGCTGAATGGCTATTCATCAAGGGGAATATATCAATGATCTTTCAAGTAACAAAAGAGGATTGGAGCACTGTACAAGATGTAGCCTAGGTCAGAGAGGAGCCCAATGTGCTAGATAGTCATAGACTCAAGTAGTACAATAAAAACACACACAGTAATGCAACTCTGCCACCATTCACTAAGACACAGAAAGATTGGTCACCAGCAGTGGCGCTTCGGGTTCCCATGTTTCCGGAGCCAAAGAACATGTGTATACCATGGTGATTTTATGCTCTAAAGTAAAACTCTACTAAATGAGTTTAGTAGAGTTTCCAACAGAAATACTGCAGACAGTGCCGTAATGATCTTTTAGTACCATCTTTTCTCAACCAATGTCATGAAAACCCTTACACACACATGTTTTTCGGAGGATACAGTTCTGTTTTATCATTCTTGGGACTCACCGAGAATTGGAATTTTCAAAGCTTTTCAGGCTGGATGATTGGGCTGCGTAGAGTGGCTGGTGTGTATGGGTATATATCACCTTCCAGCGGTGCCGATGTGATCGCTCAGTGTGTTTTGCATGTTAGGGAGAGCCTCGGTCCTGGCTTGTGGAAGACTGTTGCTCTAATGGGACAAACAATGTGAGAGGTAGCTGGAAGCTTAGACGTGAGGCGAGAGGGGTCAGAGGTCTCTGACAGGCATGCAGGGATTAATATTCTCGAGGGGTTTCGATTTTGGAACGTCTGTCGGCGCCACGGCCAGAATTTTGGATAATGCTACTGATGCAGTGCAAACAGGACGCACCACGCTTGCCTCGGTGGATTGAGGTGTGAGAAGTAACTTCGGTTAAAATAGTAATACTGGCGCAAGCCATGGTGTTGACGTACAAATAAATCCCTAGGTGGATGACATCGAGAGTTTCAGGCAAGGCGCAGGGCACTAGCCTTTGACATTCTACCTTTGTTTTCTTCAGGCTCACGCTAAATCGACTATGTTTTGGGGGAGTATTCTCAACACCTGTCAGTGGTGTCCCCTACGAACCTCCAGCTCTCACTATAGAGTCTGCAGAGCCGAGATTGAGTAACACCTTATCAACTTTGAGCTGAGTTATCTCCCCCCTCCATCAAAGAGACGCTTCCGATAATATGTAAGACGACTAAGATGACAATAATGATGCCGGGAATGGGTAAAGATAACGCGGTACCAAACGCTATAACGGTAGTCAGAGAAGCCCTCGTTATATCACAACATGTGCTACCCACCGGCGGGCAAACAAAAAGCCCACGAAAGCAAAGTAAAAGACCCTTCCGCCCTCAAGAAAAGCAGATTTCGACTCGTCAATAGTATCGTCCCTACTAATCTATACCTCCGAATCTACTAGCTAGGAGGGCATCTGAAATATACGAGTTACTTGATAGCCCCACGTCCGTAACGACTTTTGGATACTAGGCTACGCTCCTTCACGACAGTCACCCTCGAGCAAGACTTTTCTGACATCCTTTCACGATCTTCAGTTTGTCATTCGGCATGAATCAAGGGAGGAGTAAGGAGGAGGCTAGGAAGGTTGAGAGACACTCTTAGGTATACACAGGTCTGCTGCGCCCGGCTGGCCGGCCTCTTCGTCATAGGAGAGTCCCGCACCCAGTGGTTTTTGAGACTTTTCTCTGCAGCTACATACCCGCAAATGGCCATCGTTTCGTTGGCTGGAGGGGAGACAATGACGGGATAACGGCTCCTCTTAGTGTGTACTCGAATGAAGACCTGTGGGGGCATTACTGCTGGAAAGAAGTCGTGAAGGAGGCATAGATACTCCCGGCCCGTAAGCAGAAAGGACCTACATGTCTTTACATAGTTATAGACTCAGTAGCACAATAAAAACTCACTCACTCACCCTCGACGATCGATTCTGATCAAAGCCTCATCTAGACTAAGAGTATGGCCGAGTACTTTTCGATCAATATGGCCACACCTCTCGCCGACTCAATTTCCAGCTACCGGTGGCCTCTAAAAACACGCCCACGACATCATGATCATGCATATGAGACAAATACAAGAGACAAACTTGTAGTATGGACGCGGGAGATTTCTAAATAGGTAAAGAAGTTGAAGAAGATGAAGATCAGGATATGTAAAGTCATGGGTGGGATGAAATCACGGACCTCGGGAGGAACCTACATCATTGGAGAGCATGATGCGATCCACAAGCTGTAAATGCCTACGCTGCTGGACTGTGCAGTGATACCCCATCCGGACTAGTCTCTCAGGTCGAATTTGGATAGCCTGAAAACTCTTCTCACACGAGACCAGCGATCGCTGATTCCAATCCAGCAAGACCCCGCTATCTTTCTCAGGGTCCTGATTTGTATGTATGACGATAACTAGCCTGAGGTACCAAAAGCTTTGAAGCTTCCCTCTGGTGAGTTCTTTGGCTCGGAGGCCGGCTTTTCTCTATACGCACGCATACTCCATAATGGTCTTTTAAAAACAAGGTTTGAAGAATGAGTGTCTCTGAGGTTAGTAGAGTCATCTAATGTGTACACTTAACCCTGATTCTGTGTCATCTTTAGATAGTGAGTGCCTTTAATTTAGAAAAAAAAACACCTCCGTACAGTCATCTAAAATTATCTGGTAGGGCTTGACCTTCAGGATCAACTGGCATATGATTTTGAATTTAATTTCATTATCCTGATTTGGCGCCGTATGGGCCCATGCAGGTGTCTGTATACTTTCTAATTTACATGGGAGGAAACCTTTTGGTGAAAACCCCCAAACCTTCCTGCTTAATTTCTATGTTTTTTTTATAAAGTATCCTTTAGGAAGCGCAGTTACACTGTAGTGCCCTTCATATAACCCAATCACATCAGCTTTATCGACCTCAAGAAAGGCATGACCTGTTCCTTTCCCTCAGCAGCATTTCGACCGCCTTTGTCATCTGGAATTGCTCTATCCAATCATGATTTAGGATCCACTGTGTTATCCTTTTGATATCTCCAGGATTGCTTGGCATAGCTTCGTAGGACCGATCTTTCGCTTGTCTCCAGATCACTCCTCTTCCATTTGACCATCGAGGGCAGGACATAATCATGTGCTTGGGATTCTGCCATTGGTAGCTACATGGACAGCTTGGACTGTAGACTCCGGGTACTTTTCTTCTGTATAAATACAAGTTGAGCCCCATATGCTCACTTCGTATTTGCATCGCTAGACTGCTTTGGGCCCTTGTCAGGTTTCGAACTGGCATATGATTGTAATATTCAAATTAGAAATTAACCATTAAATCATGAAACTATTTAGGTAATTCATTAAGTTGTCTTTCATAGTCAAGGACTCAACAAAGACTCAAATTTAAATGAATCAATCAACAGCCATCTAATTAGTTAACCAGTCCGCCATCTAGCCTATTTAGCTCTGTAAAAAATCACTCTTATCGACTCCATCAAAGACGCGGCCTGTACAGTCCTGCTATTAGTGTAAATTACCTCCCCAGGATCCACCCTGTCATCTTAATGTGTGACAGAAAGAGCTTGTCAGATGGTATTTTTTGCCCTGGTAAAGTTTTAGGCGCCTATCAAGACAATAGATCAGCAGAGGGGCAGCGTGATCACGAAAGAGGGGATTCCTCATTGTAGGCCCTAGATGAGGAATTGTTATGACTGGACCAAGACCTTACCAGTAGCCAAGAGCTTCTAGTTTTAGACTTCATAAAGCTCGTCGTGTATTGCCGACCTCGCTACGTTTTAGCTTCAATCGTATCGCTCGTGCATTAGTTTGCATAAGTAAGAGCTCATGGGTATTCAAATTTGCACTCGGCTAGAGGCTGGTACATATGGACCAGTGTCGGATCGGGATTGCATCAATCATATTTGCATTGGAGGTGCATGAGGAACAGGGCATTTCGGCTTTCCACCCTAGAGGAGCCAGCCAATTAAAATCTAGCTCATTTGTATCCCAGACCCATATGAGACAATAATTGATTAGCTTGAGCTCATTATAGCCCCTTGGCATTTCGCGCGGGGGCACGTACTGGGCAACAAGGCCATAATTGGGAGAGCAGGGATATCAGACTGACCTTCGATGCATCTCATAGAACAAGGCTTAGTTATTAGAGTAAACCAATTCATCTTTCGCCCACTTGTGCGAATGACACCCAAAACATGAGAGTTAGTGGCGACAATAGCTATTTAATGTGCATTCGGGACGATAACTCTATGTCACGACTCCAAAATGCATACAGCCCAAATCATCTAGAGTAGGAGCTAACAAGGATGCCATTGACCACGAGATCTAATCTTGTCAGTCTTCTAATGAGTGGCTTATCACTATCCTGACACGAAAGAATAAGTAACATCTCTAGATAATGGAAATTTAATTAGTGGGATTGTTGATGCCTGTGATGTGTGATTGCGTCGAGATCGCACACTTACTTGCTTTGATACCCTTTACATTTGCTGCATTTCTGAATAACGGGGCAGCCTGTACACTTTGACGGATTGATGGCTGTCTAGTTCGATCACTTTGATTTTCAATAAGTTTAGTGACCACACATATCAGATGGAACATTCGACGTGACATCTATTCTCAATTAGATAACAAGCTCGAGCGCACGTCGCATTCTGTGAATCAATCATCAATACATATCATCAAGTATCCGCCACACAATCGAACGCAACGGACATTGCAAACATTGATTCTGCGGATTTGCGACAGTCGTTTCAAGTATTGGCGCGCCCAATCTTTTGCCATCACGTCATCTTGCCATCCGACACTACGTGCATCTGCTAAAGTTCTCGACAATCCAAGTTAGAGCATCTTTGGGAAGGGTCGCATAATCAATAAAGAACACCGTCACCCATGACACTAATCGACTACGCATTCGCCATTTCAGTACGAATGGAGATGTTCGAGCGGTGATTTTGTACCATAAATGTCTTCCGACCATTTCGTGGTAGCTTAATGACCCACGCGTTCCAAAGTTATCGTGTAGTATCTCGTTGACATTTACTCTAGCCCAATCAATGATTAGGAATATTAGTTACCAAGTGTAGATGGCGAAAGATTGGCAGTACTTGCCATTGAAACAGTCTGATGGAATTAAGGGGAACTACCAACACAGGAGGCGCGGCGGGCAGAAACCCTATCCGTCCGTTATCCGTGGATTATGGATGTAACTTGGCTGAATCTTGGGAAATGAGATGTGATTCAGAGTCATTTCCCTTGTTGATCTTGATCGGATTTTCAAACATTCGTCGCCTAACAGGCAAATGAGAAGACTGGGGGAATTTAGTGTTCGGCCCCCCCGGTATCATTTTCAAACCTGCATCGACATCGGGGGCTCATCTTAACTCTCTCTTTCCGACTTACAATTGCGGTTAGACTGACCGTTAATAGTCATGCTTCTTGTGTAGCACCCAATCCATCTTCTTAGTGACTATTCACCCCTTAACAAAATTTAGCTGCCTGTGCAGCAATTGCTTCTATCTAAATCACCGGGCAATCCGAAAACGCTCTTTCTCCATCGGTATTATCATAACGGGGCGTCACCCAAGACGCTAAACCTTACCATTAAAACTTTAACCCTTCCCAGTATGTATCCCTTTTCGCTCAACCCAGAATCTATCAAAAGGCACCGTATTTCCACGGGATAGGAATGTTGGCATGATTTCCTACTAGAATTTACACCATTCAATTGTCCTAGACTCATACCCGCCCTAATCAAAGTAATAGTTCTCAATAAATCTTCCAGCTCTATGCTGTATCACTCAAAGTAGTCCGCCCTGATACATAAAGGATATCAAATATTTTCCACAACCATTATATACTTGAATAGAGCTACATTCATTTGTACTATAAACATAATTTTAATTGCCGTCTAATTTCAATGAACAACTTCACCGTACAGGTAGAAACAAACCGGAAAACAATCATGCCACAAAGACTACCGCGGGGGCCATTTGGGAGCTCTTCAGTTTCTCCAAGTCTAGTATCCCAAGGAGACGGTTCCGCAACTCGGAGATCCTCTACACCTAAAGCTAACAGATTAGCCCAGTTCTTCTCATCACCGAAGAACAAGGAACTTCAGACAGCGCAAGCAGCACTGCTTCAAGCAGTAGCTTCTCAACACCTTCTTACCAACCCATCATCTACAATAACGGCACCGTCTCTCTCCTTGCCCACAATTTCCTTATCAACAGCCAAGGCTAGTGAAGTCAACACAGACGAACCTTGCACTACTCTCTTCAAGCCACCCTCAGCCATAGAGGCTAAGCGTCAGGCGCGAATAGAAGCACAGTTCGGTCCCCTGGGACATAATAATCACAGATATATAAGCCAGCACTCTGGTGGCGATTTCGCTGAACCCATAGAGGATGAACCACCATATTACTACCTTCTCACAACATACATCAGTTACCTCGTACTAATCATATTTGGACATGTAAGAGACTTCTTCGGAAAGCGTTTCAAGGCAGAACATTACAGGCACTTAAAATCAGCGAATGGCTACGCAGCTCTGAATAGTGACTTTGATAACTTTTACGTCCGTAGACTGAAGCTACGCATCGATGATTGCTTTGCCAGACCTACCACTGGTGTACCCGGAAGATATATAACACTGATGGACCGAGAAACGAATGACTTCAACAAAAACTATAGATTTACTGGTACATATACTGAAACACTCAATATGAGCTCTTATAACTACCTCGGATTTGCCCAGTCTGAAGGCCCGTGCGCTGATGCTGTGGAAGAATGTATAAGAAAGTATGGTATTAGTGCTGCCAGTCCGCGTGCCGACGTCGGGACATCTGAATTAGCTCTAGAGGTTGAGGATAGGATTGCTAAGTTTATTGGAAAACCTTCTGCTATGGTTTTTTCAATGGGATTTTCCACGAACGCTACCTCTTTTCCAGCATTGGTAGGAAAAGGCTCCTTGATAATCTCTGATGAATTAAATCATGCGTCTATCCGAATCGGTGCTCGACTTTCTGAAGCCATGATAACCTCTTTCAAGCACAATGACATGAAGGAACTCGAGCAAAAACTTCGAGAAGCAATCTCCCAAGGACAGCCCCGAACACACAGACCTTGGAAAAAAATACTGGTTGTAGTCGAAGGTCTTTATTCAATGGAGGGTACGATGTGCGATCTCCTCGGTATACTTAAGCTCAAGGAACGGTACAAATTTTTCTTGTTTGTTGATGAAGCGCATTCGATTGGTGCACTCGGACCCAAAGGACGTGGTGTATGTGATTATTTTGGAGTTGATCCTTCAAGAGTGGATATATTAATGGGCACGTTCACTAAATCTTTTGGTGCTAATGGTGGGTACATTGCAGGAGAGAAGCATATCATAGATAAACTCCGTTCGACAAATGCTGCAAATCTATATGGAGAGTCACCAACGCCTCCTGTGTTGATGCAAGTGCTTAGCGCATTAAAAATAATTGCTGGTGAGAATGTCCCAGGTCAGGGTGAAGAACGATTACAAAGGATAGCCTTCAATTCTCGCTACCTTCGTCTTGGACTCAAACGCCTAGGCTTCATAGTTTATGGCCACGATGACTCTCCGATAATACCTATACTACTTTACAATCCAGCAAAGATGCCTGCTTTCTCACACGAAATGCTCCGAAGGAAAATATCAGTCGTTATTGTTGGTTATCCTGCAACGCCTCTTATTTCCTCACGAGCTCGATTTTGCGTCTCCGCCGCTCATAATAAAGATGATATGGATCGTCTCCTCAGTGCATGTGACGAGATAGGAAATATACTGCAGTTGAAATTCAGTACCGGAATTGCTGGTGGACGAGAATGCCTTCCTGATGGAATAACGCCAGAAATGGAAAGGGAATGGGAAAAAGCTAACGGTTCGAACATATTAACCACTCCTCCTAGATGGAACTTGCGTGAGGTGATAGCAAACGGAGTGCAAGACGTCAAAATGCCATTACGGTGAAAATGGGGGGGGTGAATTTTCTAATTTTATGTATTACTCTCTTCAATGATATTGGTTTAGGAGAATAGATACCCTTTTTATGTTGCATCGGGAATGATGTGAAAATTGAAAGTAGACAGAATAACTTATCCTTGACCCCGATAGATTTCAGTGCTTAAGGTATGGGAGTATACCTTTCCAAACTGTTACCTCTCTCTTAAAGAAAGATTCTACCACCGCTAAACTCAGCATGTATACTTGCATACTTTTCAAAAGTTTTTATCTGCCGACGGTTGAGCTATGACTCTAGACCTCACCGGATTAACTCAGATTCGGTCAATTTTCCGATACTTCGAGTTGCTGTAAAATTGTTGCTTTCGTATTAGGAGCGTAGGCAAATAATACAAACTCTCCTAGAAGGTCAAGCTGGAATCCTTTTTGCCCCCCCGAATAGTGAAACGAGTTGCTGTCAACAAGCCTTACGAATTCTCCAATTCAACTATGTTGGCCATAGGATCTGGTATAAAACAATGGGGTCTCGGGGTTACTCTGAGACCCACGTGCGATTATGGATTAAGGGCACGAAGAATCTCAATGGGGTAGGGCACCTTTTGGCTAGACGGTTCTTCAACGGCGTAATTAGTGGCTTCGACAGTACGCGCTTTTACCCGTATCCTATTTGCTGTGCACTCTGTGATGGCCTTCGTCCGAATATATCCGAGGTGGCCAATTCCTGCTGCAGCCGCCACCAGCAGGAGTGCTGCTCTGCGACTTACGAGGTGCGCATCCTTATCATAGCTAGATAGCTGAATACAATATGATACACAAAAAAAGAGCGGTGCGCATCCAAGTTTTAGGATGGTGCGGGACTCTGAAAGCACCTGAGTCCGCCATCGAGCACCGAAAACCTTTTCTATCGCGAAATACCACCTGGAATAAAAATAGAGCTAGATTTTACGCCCTTCTCCTTGATACATTCGAGTATCATGATTTCTAATTTGGGTACTCCTGTGCCAACCATATTGTCCACTCTAACAAAACGCCAGGGTTGACAACAAATGCAAAGACAACATCTCAAGGAAGCCTGTCCCTCCCTTAACATACAGCCTCAACATCCACCCAGAATATTATTTACTTATTATCTAGGAAACCCGGACAGGCTCGGAGTAGGTATTATATGATGTTCTACTGAACCCACTTTGAAGTTATCATCCCCCTCGAGGTCTCTTTCCGCCATTTTCATGTGGCCCGGCTATCGCCACTTCATCTCGGATGCGCTTTGTTCCGACTGACCCAATCGGATTGAAAGGTGCTCCAACGTTAGATGCGAGATTACCTCTATTCAGACCAGCACTATTGGGTGTCCCGCCCCGTCCACGGCTACCACCTCTAGGTGGTTGGTAGTTTTGATGTCCGCCTCGGCCACGAATATTTGCTGCACCACGCATCATTGGAATAGACGAGACACGCTGAGGAAGTTGATGGGGTAATGTATTCTAAGTCTACGTTAGGAATTACTTGAAATCTGGTGGAGTCACATACGGTTGAAATACTGTTTGATGGCCCTGTGGTTGCCCTACTGGGTACTGAAGGTGAATTTGGAGCAAGTAATGATGATATTTGACCGACTGGTGTAGCCGTTGCTGGCGTAGGTTCAGATGGGGAAGCTGTGGCGCCATTTGTAGAAAATTTTGGAGCTATAATATCCAACTTAGCAAGGTTATATTTTTGCCAATCGGAAACATACCGAAATTTGGAGTAGCAGGAAGTGAACTTGGGGCGGCAAGGGGAGGAGGCTTGTAGTTTTTGACCTCAACCCAAACCTCACCGACTGCCCGTTCAGGGGTAGTCTGGGCTGCTACTTCAACGACCTGCAATTTACCTGTAGCGATCCGAATTCGATTTTCGGACATGTTTATTTTCAAGGCTGATTTCTTGGTTTCCATTGATACAGCTTGAGTTTTAATTGTTTCTGCCTTTTGAAGGGCATCCGTGAGAGTCTTTGTATGCTCCTCTTTGAGTTTCTGGATTTCCGCTGAAAGTTTCGTCATAATATTGCCCTTTATGATTTCGCGTATGGTCTTATTATTCTGGCAAAGTTGACGAGCTTCATCGTCAGAAATATTAGAAAGGGAGGGAATTTCTTTGGCTTGGCTCAAAGCTGAAGGGATGATAGCATCAGTACTTCCTACAGGTAATGTTTCAATTGAAGCCGCTTGTTTATCTTCAGATTGCAATGATATCTGAGGCATTTGCTCAGCCTGATTAGCCCTGCATTCAGCAATCCAAATCTGTTTCTCACGCTCAAATCTAAGCCTATACTCTGCTTCAAGCTCTGCCTTTTGAGTTTGTTTCGACTCTGCAAGTTTTTTGTTGAGTGCGGTCTTCATTGTATCTGACCTTTTCTTTAATTTGCTCTCCATCTCTTCCTCAATCTGCTTAACCCTTTTTTCATGTTCAACAACCTTGGATTGTGCTTCAATAATTTGATTCTCGAAAGCTTTCCTCTCAGCTTCGCTTATTGGATTACTACTATTGACATCTTCAACCTGATCTTCCTCTGATTCTCGTTCGGTTATAAGCGTAGAGGATGAAATAGTTCGGGTTCGTATAACTTCTTGAGCATCGTTGAGTTCTGATTTTGTATTTTCAAGTTTTCCTTTAAGATCTTTTATCTCGATTTGAAGCATTTGCTTTTCATGAGTAGCAAGTTCGAGCTCTCTACGTAACTCGACGACTTGTTCATCGATTGCAAGATTAGAATTCTGCTCACTAGTGGAGTTGATTAAATCTTTGGGATCTTGTAATGAAGCTGAAAGTGCATTATCCTTTTCTGACTTGCAAGATTCTAATTCTTGGGTGATTTTCATTAGTAGTTGGCCCGTAGAATCTTTTTCCTCGATAGCTGTCGCAAGTTGTGCCTGAAGGTCCGTAAGATTCTGCTGAAGTGTTTGCTTTTCTTGAATTGCAGCGTCTCTTTCACTCGTTCTATCCTTAATATCTTTTGTGTTGATACGATTACGTTCCTTAGCTTGTTCTATTAATTTCTGCCTACTTTGAGCCCAACTGCTCCTTTCAGCCTCGAAATTGCCAATCTTTTCGAACAAAGGCTTCTGCTCCTCTAGAAGAGTGTCGCGCTCAGATCGAAGGGATTCGACGGTTTCTTTGAGCTGCTCTACTTCAGCAGGATCAATGCGATCCGATTTAGATAATATATCTTGTGTACGTTTTTGCCATCGATCACGATCTTCCTGCAATAATCGCATTTCTCCCTCTAAGGATTCTTTGCTGTGCTCTAATTCGTGAATCTTTGTTTCTAATGGTTGGATTTGTTCCAGTAATCCATTTACCCGCTCAGACTTTTCTGCAAGCTGAGACTGGGCCTGGCGCAGTTCATTTCTTAGGGTGGTGCTACTCTCCCGGAACAAATTCAATTCATTCAACTTTTCCATCAGATCTTTGTGCGCTAGAGAGCTTTTGTTCATGTCAGCCTGAGAGCGACGTTCCTGGTCCAACTTGAGACGGTGTTCATCCAGCTGAGCCTGAGTATACTCTAGCTGTTGCTGTAGCCGCTTAGATTCTTGAACTTTGAGGTCATACTGGACTTCTACAATTTCTTTCTCGCGTCGTAAGAATGTGTTGAGTTCGCGTAGACCATCGACATTACGTTGTGAGTGTGAATCTAGCTCTGCAGAGCTGTCTTCATAGTTAGCCTTGTGAGATCGGCTTTGCTGCAGAGATGAGACCTGAGAACTGATATTTTCGAGTTGCTCATGTAGAATCTTATTTTGCGCCATAAGGTCATCACGTCTTCTGCGTAGTTCTTCCATTTCTTCTTCGAGTTTTTCACGTCGTTCTTCCCAAGATATTTCACACTGGCTGAGGGCTGTCCGCGCGGATTCAGCGTCAGCTTTTAGAGATGCAGAATTTACCTTAAGCTGGTTGAGCTCGGCACGGACGCATTGTAATAATTTGGCAGCTTCTGCGTGTTTTACAAGTTCATTTTCGTAATCTTGTTGGGCTTTTGTTGCAATTTGAGCTTGAGCCCGCAAGTCTTGTTGATGAAATTGAGCTGCGGTCGCATGGCGTTCATCTTCTTCTTTCAAGCGAGCTACTTCAGCTTGCAGGGATGCCATCTCTTCTTCTGTTCGGCTGGCAATCTCAGCATTCGAAGCTTGTAATTCACTGAGTTCATTATTTGTGTCTGTGAGTTTTTTAGAAAGGTCCTCGGCTTGCTGTTCAATGTCTCGAATCTTTTTGTCTTTCTCGTCAATTATCAGATCCATCTCTTCCCGGAATTGGTCACTCGTGGAATTTAAGGCCTCCATTTCCTCCTCGGTAGCTTGTGCAATTGCTTTATATTGTTCCATTTGAAGCTTGGCATTATCAACTTCAGATCTCGCTAGATCTAGGTCACGCTTTAATTCTGAAATTTCCATCGTAAGCTCTTGTTCACGCGTAAGGTCGCCGTCAATATCCTGGCTGTCAGACTCTCTTCGGGTTGACTTGAGCTGTAGAAGTTGTACTCGTTCCTCTGAACTCTTTAATTGGATAATAAGCTCATCCGCTCGTGATTGAAAATGATCGCGGGAGGTTTTAATAACTGCAAACTCCTCGCGAATTTGACTCAGGCTTGCAACAAGACCATCAATGCGCTTCTGGTTCTGCAGCAAATCATATTCTTTACGTAATTGAGCTTTTTTGCTCTCTTCTACTTCCTCGTTTAGCTTCCTTTTTGTGCTACTGAGCTCAGCCTCTAGCGAATCGACCTGTGATAGTAATCGTCGTCGGGTTTCGGACTCTGACATTTCGCGCTCGTTCTGTAAGTGTTGTTGGTTTGCGACAAGGTTATTCAACCGGGTTCGTTCGCTCATAAGATTATCGTTGTCCTTCGCTAATCGTTCCTGGATATCTTTCCAGAGCATTTTTTCAGCCTTGAGGTTAGCATTCTCATAACGCATACTTTCCAGTTGGCCTTTGGCTTCTACTAGGTCCTCGGCTACCTGTTGAGTACGTAAGTCTTGTTTGACCGCAGTCTCTGAGAGTATTTGAGCTTTCTTCTGCAACTCCTTATTTTCATTGCCCAACATTGCATAGTTAGAGTTTAGAAGATCATATCGATCAGAGAATAGGGTAAGCTGACTATTTACTTTTGCTATTTCAGAGTGTAGGGAACTCTTTTCCTGTGAAAGCCTAGCAACTTGTTCTTTGAGAGTGTTACGATCAACGGTCTGCTCTTCTCTATACCTATCATATTGAGATTGGAGGTTGCGAATTGCAGCGGTTAGTTGGACACATTCGTTACCGCCGGCTTCAATGGTGTCCGGTAGGTGGCTCTGGCTACCGTTAACGGACTGTCCAAACATTGAGTTTATGTCTAAGTTGGCAGGGATTTGGCCTCGGTGCTGGAGCATCCGACGGAACATGTCACGTTCTTTAATATAGCTTTCAGAGCGGGTGATAAGATTGTGCAACTCATCTTTGTAGTCTTCAACTTTGGCTAATAGTTTTTGAACCTCCTCATGATCTTGTGCAGCCTGTTTTTTTGCAGCTATAGCCTCTTCGCTCTCCATCTGGGCACCCAGTTGCCTGATTATCTTAAGTTGATCTTGGTTTTTCTGTTGAAGCTCGCTAATATTGCGAAAAACAACCAAACGTTGGCTAATTAATTGATCTGTCGCAGACAGTTCATCTAATGCACCATCAGAAACCTCTCCCGCGGCCAGAGATTCAAGACGAGATTTATCGCTGGCACTTAGCTCGCCCCAGCCTTGATCTCGAGCAGCCTGATCGGCAAGTAACATTTTGACTTGTGAACTAAGATCTCGTAGCTGTTGTGTGAGAATGTTTGCCTCTGCTTGTGCTGTTGACGCCTCCCCCTTTGCTAGTCTAGCATTCTTTGTTGCTATATCCTTTTCTTTACCAATTTGTTCTACAAATCTGGACATTTCAAACATCTCTTTTTCTAGACGTCTATTTTCCTGCTCCAAATCATCAATATAGGGCTTTTTGGCCTCAAGTCCCTCTACCATCTGATCGATCTGTGCCTCTAAACTCGCCGTCCTAAGTTTTTCTTTCCTATACTCAATCTTGACTTTTCCAAGCTCTTCAATGGCCTGTGTTGCAGTTATATTTAATCTACTTCGTGTAGAGCCAGGGGTTGCGGGCTGACCAGGGGTGCCCATGTGTGAGATTAAAGTTCCATTGAGAGCTCTGCGAGGGGTTCCAGGCTGAGAATTATGGCGAGCCTGAGCAGCCTGTGCCTCAAGGCGATCAACCTCTAACTCCAGTTCAGCTATCCGATTTTCGGCCTGTTCGCGTTCACGCCTTTCAGATTCGGCCTCGGCTCGATATCTTCCAACTTCTTCCACTGCATTATCCTTGATTTTCTCAACCCCAGCTTCCACCTCTAACAGCCTGTTTCGGTGCATATTAGATTGCTGTGATTGGAGCTCTGCAAGTCTTCGTGAGCTTTCAAGTTCTTGTCGAAAGCTATCTTCAGCTTTAGCTGCGTCTTCCTGAAGTTGCTGTACTTTCGCCAATGAATCCTCTGCTGTTTTTTGCACTTCTTCTAATCGGTTACGGAGAGCTTGCTCAGTTTTTCGAAGCGATTCAATGTTGGATGTGAACTCTTCATTCTCACGTTGTAGCTCGGCAACTCGCGCACCTTTCTCTTTTCGGCATTTCATGGCCTCCGCACTTTTGGTTTTAAGCTCGTTTTCCAGCCATTCATTATTACGCTTGGCCAATTCTAATTCCTGCTTGACATTACCCTCTCTAAAGCTAGCGCTAGATGCGGCAGATTTGGCGATTTGTACGTCTTGTTGCAGAGCACTTAATTGTTGGCTTAGTTCTAGCCCCTTTTGATGTTGCTTTTGCAAGTCTTTCGATAACTCATCATTGGCAGTGCTTTTTGATTCAACTATAGCTATTGTGTCACGGTTGGCAGCTTCGAGCGAAGAAATTCGGGCACGCAAGCTTTCGATTTCAGATAAAGAGTTGGTTGAAGACGACTTCAAAGCTTGTAGTTCTGCTTCAATTGAAGCTTTAGATTTCACTATCTTTTAATTAGGATAAATTGCGGAAAGTTTCTCCGGTACTACTGACCTTCTTCACAAAGTTTTGTGTTGATAGACTCAACATTTTTTTGAGCATTTTCCAGATTGGTTTTGAGGCTCTCAATCTGTATTTCAGACTTCCGGACTTCGTTCTCAAACTCGATATCCACACGGAGCTTGTCCGCGACGAGTTCGTCATGCTCAAGTGCCTTTTTGGAAATAGCAATAAGAACTGCACGAACCAAATCTGCGGTTGGTGTGTCGATAATATTGCTAAGATTATCTTGAGGCACACATAAATATGCCGACAAGTATTTTACATCTATGGCCGCAGCCGCCATGATAATGTAAATTTTGGTTTAAATACAGGCGCGTAAAATCATGAGTAGAGGCGCCGGAGATATTTTCTGGAGCTGTTCTCAGGGTATGAAAATTCCCAATGTATGGCCACACTGATATGTCTCGGTTAATTTGAAGTTAGCAACTATATAATTAATCCAAGGAGCTTTGAGTACTCGTTTCTAATCCAGCAACAGAGCTTAGCTCCGAGCATTTGAAATCAAACGACCCTCGTTCCCCATTCCACGCTAGCGCGCCTAGCGCAACATTGAGAACACTGCTGCGCTAGGCTCGTACTAGCCACACACGTACAGCCCATAATATTCTGTTCGATCCGTAAGTTCAATAAAGACTTACACAGCTAACATATTAATCTCAAGCTGCCTGGTAGATAAAAGCGAGACGCATTCTTGATAAAACACCGAGAAACGTACGTGTCCCTAAACTGGATCGGTGAGGCTTCTGGTTGAGAGACATAAGGGCTGTAGGATATTTGCCTCAAACCTTAAATCTTAGCTTCAAGATGTCGTCGCACCTTGAAAGACTACAGTCAGGTTTCAGGAGCGACGTTAAATCATCTGCGTCTAAAGTGGCAGTAAAGCGTTCCGCTCCGCAACCTCCGAAAGCTACAACTACAACTTCAAACACAACAAAGAGTGAAAATAAAGATAGTAAAAGGAAAAAAGAACCAGCAAACATTGTATATTCTCAGCCAGCAGCGACTGGATACGGGACGGAGGCCTTCACTCAAGTCACATACGTCATCGAATTCCTAAAGAAGAAGGATGAGCGAAAGACCTTTCAGGAAATCTTACAGTATTTGAGTCAAGTGAATACGGATGAGCTCAAGAAAAAGCTTATTGCCAAGATATTACGACAGCATGATCGAGTAAGGTGGATTCCAGACCCGAAACTCAAAGCGCAGAGTTGGGATTCGGGCTTCTTTGAACATCGACCGATTATTCAGGTTAAAAATGAGATTGATCTCATAACTTATCTACAAAAAAAGACTACTGCGCAGGGTGTTTCAGTGAAGGATCTTAAGGATGGCTGGCCTGATTGCGACGTTGCTATCGATAAGTTGGAGAAGGAACATCGGATACTCGTAACCCGTACAAAAAAAGACAACCATGCCCGCATGGTTTGGAGTAACGATCCGACCCTATTGTACGAGATTGACCCAGAGTTTCAGGTCATGTGGCACAAGATTGAACTACCCAGCGTCGATGAACTTGTTCGGAAGCTTCTCGAAGCCGGGCAGAAGCCAGCGAGCGAAGACCCTAGCAAACGAGTGAAACTGGCGCCTAAGCCGAAAGAGAAGAAGAAGAGAGCGCCTAGAAGTGGCGGTAAAACTACTAACACACACATGGCAGTATGGAACCTTTATGACCTACCGTTTCCTCGACTAACGCTATATGCAGCACTTGCTCAAGGATTTCTCACACCTCAAGCGCTAGTCACTAACCAGACTTTTTTCTCCATCGAGTGTCTACGTCGAAGAATTTCGGCTACAGGTTGGGAGGTGGGCGTTGGGGCAATCATGAGGTATATATTGACCTCTTGGCACACTGATCTCTGGGTCTAGGAGTTATTGGCAAGTTTGTATTCCTTTTCTAAAATTTATATCGATAGTCTACAAGCGTATCTCAGGATCGATAGGCATGGGCAGCCCTAATGCCTAGGATATGTGAATGCTGTTCGTGAATTATCAAGCACATCTTGATGCTTACTGCTTGGGACCCACGGCCATTACACATTCCACATCTGTAGCCAGTAACTATTTTGGGGAAAAGGAATAGTCTTTGCCGACATATGGATTAAGACAGGAAAACTCGGTGTTTCTTGAAAGGAAGGATTTATGTAATGCATTTATCGAATACTGCCTGCGTCACAGGCACATAGAGTCATTGATGTGGGTGATACTTAAGTATGGACGAATGATTATTTCCCCAAAAACATGTACATGGGAGGTTTTTACTTGGACAATAACCAAGTTAAAAACTAGTCTTTAGTTAAGACCCATTGAAGTACCACAATATAAATCTAATTTTAGAATAAGACTACATGTAAGTATCAAAGTCCAGTACATTATTCATAAATATCTTTCGAAAATTAACGATTCCTACTATAACTCATCCTTTTCAAGAGATAACTCGTCATGGTCTATATCACGGGGTGAATTCAAATGTGATAAAGGTAGCTCGATGGTCTGGAGACGATCTACAGGCATGAGAGGCATATTTTGAGGTCGAGTGCGGAAATACCGCGAGGGGACCGAGGCTTGGTCTGAAGCGTGCGGGAGGTGTTGCGGCGCATCCAACACTTCCGAAGGCAGGGCGACCGGTACGATCGACTTCTCTGCTGCAGCGGTTGGGGCAGGCACAGTGATAAGACGAGTCACAATCTTTTCCGCGAAGACGGTCGTCGTCATCGTAGGTGGCTCGGCCGACCAGGGCTCAGAGCGGGAGGTTGCTTCCTTGGGGACGTAAGGCTCCTGAGGTGCACGATGGCGCATGATCAGGCCGCCTGGGACTATTCCAAGGCCGAGCAGGAACAGTGTTAGCAGCCCAATCAAAATGTTGCGCTTATCTTGCAGAATCACACGCACTGCTGCGAAGAGTAGTTGTAAGAAAGATTCACTCTCAGTCGTTTTCGCAGCAGAAGGTGCGGCCTTGGTAGTTTTCCGTGGGCTCTCTTGGACGGTACTTTGTCTACTACTGCGGCTACTGGCACTTCGTTCGAGGCCGGAACGGCCATAATTCCGGCTCATCTCTTCAGTGATGCGCCTCACTTCTTTTTCACGCTCTTCTTCCTCCTTAACCGTTGCATTCCTACGCATCTCCTCGCGTTGTTCATGCTCCCGAAGTTCGGCTTCTATTCTTAACTCTTCCTCGCCTTTCTCATGATCTATGTCCAGGTGACTCGAATAACGGGTAGTCATCTCTTCGCGGTCAAAGTCCTCATCATCATCATCGTCATCATGGTGAAGGGAGACAAGATGTTGCGACGCAGGAGCCAATCGTTCAAGTTCCTCACGTACGTGTGGCTCGACGTGTGGCTCAATCTCTACATCGACTCGTTCCATTTCCCTCCAAGCTGCAGTCCAGGCACCTGGGCTCATTAAGCCGTTGGATGCGAATACTTTGATGCAAAACCGATTCTCAGGTTTTTTACATTCTTTTAATTCTTGGAAAAGTATTTCTCTTCCACAGGTAAGGCATTTTCTGGGAATATTTGGAATGCTGTCTCGTGATCTTACAGATATGGAATCGTCCTGGGCTTCATCTGTGGTGAATGTCTCCAAGTACGATGACCCAATATAGTGTCCACATTTTAGAATTCTGGCCCTCACGTGAAGGGGGAGCTCTAGGGCTTCAAGCAAACGTTCCTCGAGTGTTTCATAAGAGTCTTGTGGATGTGCTAAGAGAATACCACGCTCCAAAACGGTGTTTCCCACCTTATCCTGAAGTAATCTCCATGTCTCCTGTATAGTTTTTATAGATTCCGGTACTTCAGAGGAAGATGAGATGTAAGAATAAGGCCATTTCAAGGGCATAATTGTGATGTGCAAAAGTACGAGTGGATCTTTAGGGGGGCGCTTGAGACGAGTAGGTGTAGTCTTATTTGGCGTGCTCTTCACATTCAGAGTCCCTCGCCGGGAAGATGAAAGCTTTTGATCTGATGGGAGCGAAGAAGGGAACATTGACGGTGTAGGAGAAGTCATTTGAATGGCCCGAACTGACGATGGGGATCGAAAAGGAGACCTTGTTTTTGGCTTTACCATGATTAGATCAGACGGGTTCGAACCAGGATAAGATATCCCGCTGGGAGATCTTGAGATTGGAATATGAGAATCACTCCGTGAGGTTGTTTCATCTACATCTGTGGGCATCATTGAAGATTTCTGAGACGACTTTTCCGAGGGAGCGTTCTCATGGAATGAGTTAATACTGCTTCTTTGGCTGCGCCCGGAATCGCTGAAGACATCATCCATTTCCCCACCATGGTGAGAATTTGAGCCACCAGTCCCACTCTCTGAATTTTGCTCGTTGTCTGATACGAAGCTCGAGCCGGCGTAGGAATCATCCCTCCTATCGCTTGTGTGATAATTATATTCTTGGACTTCCGGATTTAGTCTACTTCGCATATCGTGCAAGGAGCGGTAGCTTTCCTCTAGAATTTTCCCGTATTTGTCTTTTCGGTTTCTGTTTCCTGTAATTATCTCAGTTGCTATTTTCTAATAAAACCAGCGTCAATTTTACTGTCACCTATCGCTGCTTTGCGCTCGTCTATTTTTTCGGGTGACTCTAGATGGCATCCAACTGCCTCATCGGTAGGCATATTATTTGGAGAAAGCTAAAAATTATAGAAGATGGAAATTAGTGGAGGTAGTGAAGTGCATGATCTTTTCTTACCTCCTTAGTGAGTCCCCAGGTTGAGTCGAGTAGAATACCCAAGATATTAGAGATATCCTTGATTATTGAAATCAAGGAATTAATGTGATTATATTGTTAAAGTAGGAGATCCTGTGTCATTGCATACGAATTGAGTGGTTTGGCTACCTGTATCATATAATATCCCTACAATCCCGAGCGTTAGGCTTGTTTACACATGTCAGAATATAAGCAGTGGTCGTCGTGGCAACAAGGTAGGTGCATGAATAAAGAAGTTGGCGAAATCCCGGCTCAAATTACTTGATATCCGCACGAATGCATTGGCTCGACAATTCACGTCTCCCTGACTGTTACTAGATGAAATCCCTTCGGCCAGCCTCCTCTCAACAAAGTAAAGAGGGGACAAAGGATGACTCAAGACTTGATTTGTACGATGCAGTATAGTGACGGCGAAAGTCATTGCACACTTGTATTCTAGAGACCTTTGGCCGAGATAACAAAATATTATCATCATGTATGTGTTGTATATCCGTATTTCTTAATAATTCATTGAATATAAAGGTATGGAGCCCTCTGGAAGTTGGTAAGCTAGGCCTGAAAAGAAATTCTATTCGTTAATACTAACATAAACTTCTGCACTTTGAATAGTGTCGAACGGCTCCGCGACAATAGAGAATATTTAGACATGAAGCACCATAAAGAGGACAAGTTTTGTTGGCAGAGAACGGATGGGAGGAATTTTTTATGTACATAACCAAAACGAGATGTTACGGAGGGCGATTTTCACATTGAGAGGATTTATATCTCTCGAAAGACTAGAATCTTTTAGCAATTTGATACGAAAGTGGTCAAGGCGCAGGTCGTTTTTTGTCTAGGCAATTTTCTATATCTGTTCTTTCATATATTCTCTCGGCCTAGAAAGCTGGACGTGAACATAGTAATAAGTCTTGAGGGATCACACACCCGTATCATGCCTCTTGAGTGTAGGGCTTTTGCCTGGTACGAAATTAATGCAATTCTATCGAAAACCTCTCCGGTTTTCGTATGGAGGTACACTAAATCCGCACTCTTCCGTTACCCGTTGTAACGATTCATATGTAATTGACATTGAGAAGATACAGCATAATCAGATCAACCGATATCCTCTAGGCAGCAGGGTAGATGAACTAGGTTGGGAGAGGGCATCTAGTCGACCCGATTCGGCGTAAATGTTTCCTCGGGGCAAATACCGAGAAAGCGCCAAGGTCTAGCGAAGGGAATGCTTTATTGTGGCAAGATGTCTGTTGCTATAGACTAGGTAGCGTCATCGTCTATTAAACGGCTGCACAATTGCGGAACACGGCGTATGCAAAATGACTCACGAGCTAAGCCCTACTTACCACAGTCATCACTATAAAAAACAGACGACTATTTTACCGTCGGATGAAATTGCCAGTTTCAAAATACCTTTTTCCCGAAGCTCCAACCAGTCTGCATAAACTTCACCGGGACAAACGAGCAGCAATTACATGGATAATTTTGAATTAGATTTCCGGGACAACATCGAGTAAGGAGGTATCCAGCTGCGAGTCACGCCCGGTTAGTGATTGATTTGAAGTTTCTTGTCCTTTATCAGTCCAGAACGTTATAGAATATATCGTACCCCCGGTCTTTCAAGTCCCCAATTACCTCACTACCTCATTGGTGCCTCGGGACAAGATGGAGGTTGCGTTAAAATGCCAGAAACCTCTTTTCGAAGTGTAAACGGAGATCTAGACTAGCCAAATCTCTTGGTGTTGCCATGAGTAGTTAGAAATTCCATGGACTCAATGGCAGTCGAAGCCCTCCGGGCTAGTGTGGGACCCGAGCTTGGCTCCGAAGTTTATCGAGTGAGGCCTGGAGGTTCATCAGGGATACCGCTGACAGGTGTGGAGCCCCTGTATCCCACGCGAAGTCGGTTCGCTTAGGCTTAGACACCGTTAAGTTGGACGGCCTCTTCCTCGGCCTCAAGCATGAAATCGCGCATCTGCTAAGATGGAAAACAGCCTGAGATGAAGGACTCTTGAAAAACGTCCCAACCCATCGCTCGGGCCTGACTAGAGTCCTAAAGTAGCGATACGTGTCATGTTAGTAAACTCTCCTCTCGTAACTAAAATAATACGACTCACTTCAACGTACTAGATGTGCAGCGTCCGACTATGTTCTAAGTGTATGGGTATTGTTCGTACCAATGGACTGTAATGGACTCAGCGTCAATCGTGGGCATAGCGCGCGAAAAATTAAATTATAGGCTTTGGTTCAGGCCGCATGCAGGCCAAAGTGGCCGATACGAGAAATGTGATTTCCGCCTCGTGTGAGCAAGCCTATTTTTTAACACAGAACTTTGGTTGTGGAAGCTCATGATTACCAACCATTACGAACTAGTCCGTGGCATCAGTACCTCGATCAATCATTCTGGGCATATGTACAATCCCTGCACGCATCGCAACATTGTCATAGCTACATAGCTGAATACAATACGATACAAAAACAAAAAAAGAAAAAAACCCTGCACGCGTGAGTAGATCGGTAGTATCTCATTCTCATTGAGATATGAATGGCCCTGGTATTTACCCTGACATCACGGCTGCCTTAATCATAGCTTTGATACAACATGCACTTGTTGAAATTCCCATCTTTCCCTCACCACGCAAGTAAAACGAGAGTAAATGTTAGGGTTAATTTAACGTTATTGTACTGAAACCCTTACACAATCGCAATAGTATTTTATATTTTTAGCCTGATTCCTAAATTCCCAATTGCGACACCAACGTCCTATGGAGATCGGTGCCCATGCCAACTTGATTAAAGAATTACAAGAAACATTCCAGTTTTTAAATTAAACGCCGAAAAAATCCTAGATTCATCCTCGCTGCCGAAACTATGGCAAGCAAATGAAACCTGAAATACACAATGATACTGAGTCACCTCCATAATAAATATGCAAACGCTACTTAGGACTCCATTTTTACACAAGTATTCTACAATTTGTAATAAAGCGAAGGCACGTGGGAAATGAAATAATAGGCCCAAACTGTGAGACATTTATGGTAGGGATAGTCGAGATAGATCGATATTTTTGGTGACAAGAGTAGAAGACTAAGTTGGTAAAAGAAAGAGGAAATTATAGACCCGACAACGATATTTTTTCAGTACTAAAATACTGTAGAGTAATACAACTACTCATGAGTTAGAACCGAGTAGATAAGGCACGTAGCTTCTTATTCCTCGCCAGATGAAGATGAAAATAGGGCCAGATGTACTCCTAACATGAATAAACATATAAAGTCAATGACAAAGGGTATCTGACACGAGAACAAAATTATTAATACTGAAAGACGGTTCATTTTGATCAAGCCTTGGGCAGCTCTGTAGTCTGAGATGTGGACGACGTACTCTCACCTTTGTTCAACTAAAGGATTTATGAGAGTAGTTTGAATATTTTGGCTTATTTTTATTGCGCCGTCGTCCACATCTCGTTCATTCGGGGCCTTATCTCGTAACTATCTGGTTCTGAACTACCAGGCCTTCGAATGTTAGAATTGGGATAGTAGATTTGTTGATTAATATTTCCTGAACCGTACGGGTCGGGGTCTGGATAAACGAATCCGTTACTAGTGGATGGAGAGAGCACGCTGTGGGAAGGAGACTGCCAACTTTCGTTGCTCATGTGGGGACTCCCATTTTGGCTTCCACCAACCCTACGTTCGGTCGTATTACTTGCGGGAGGTTCGAGTACTGGCGGTGGGCCGTAGCCAGTCGGATGTGAGGTTGGTCTTGCTTGTAGAGCATTGGGGAAAGAATTAGGAGCAGAAGCGGGTTGATTCTGTAAGTTATAGTCACCACGTAAATGTCCTGGAAGTGAGCTATTGTTCATGTATGAGAATTCGGTTGATTGTCGGTGAGATAAGTTGCTGATGGGTGCAAGTTCAGAGTTGGGTGAAACGGACAGCGCACGTTTACCTGGCGATGGTGTTGATAAGGGGGACGCGTTATTGGAATAGGGTTCACCGTCTGAGCGTCCTCGTGCTCCTCGCGCAGTACTACCACCAAGGGTTGCTAATGCAGCAGCTGTCGCCACAGCAGCCTCTTCGACTGTTCCAGTATGATGGTTTTGATGACGTGTAAGTGTAGTTCTGCGGGTAAAAGTTTTTTGACAGTCTGCATAAGGACACTTGTAAGGTCTTTTACCCGAGTGTATTCTTCGATGCCTGGCCAAAGAACTCGAATCGCTGAAAGGCTAGCGGGGATTACTGGAACGTTCACGGAGTAGATACTTTGAATCTCACCTTTCCACATCTCTCACACATATGAGGCTTCTCACCCGTGTGTACCCTCATATGTACTGTCAAGGCTGATCTTTGAATAAACTGTTTTCCACAGTTTGGGTGCTCACATACATGAGGTCTAACACCACTGTGAATGCGCTCTTTACGCTCGTTAGTTGAATTGATAGTCTCAAGGATTTTTATTGGCATACCATGTCTTGCCAAATCACTCCTTCGTGCGAATCCTTTTCCACATGAGCTACATGGAAATGCTTTCTGCGCAATGGATTTTATCCGGCGTCCATCGTCATTATTTATCGTATTTTGCGGTACAATAGTAGACTCAAAGTTCTCATTTCTATATGATTGCTGTAGCATTGGAACTGGATGCTGAATAGATGTTGGTGATGGATACCGCATACCTTTGGGGTTATCGTTGATTCCGGTCAGGTGGCTGGCGTACCTTGGCGTTGAGTACCTGGAATGCTCAGAGTCGTGCGGCGAGTTATCCCGCTCGGATCCAGTATCCGACATGGAGATAGTGTGAACATGTGAAATAGAGTGAAGATGAAGATCTTGAGTTTTCACGTTTGTCATAGAAGCAACTGCGGCTGCAGCGCCTTTAGTCTTCGAATTGACAATTTGTTTAATATCCATTTTCCAAATACTAGATGCTTAAACAAAAGATTGGTTTGTGAAATTGGACTGTAGTTTGACTACAATAAAGCTGAATTATCATGAGATAGCGGATAGCCCTAAAATTAAAGTCCCTTTTTAGATGCGGGTGTAGTCTAGAATAAGCCTCTCGATAATTCTAGATGTCTGCTTTACGTAACAGGCGGTGTGAAAAAGTTTTTATCGATCAAATCTGACTCGGATTGCTCAAGTGAAGATCTGGTTTAGACTGGAACGTTTTTCTACCAAGGTTACATCAACATTAGTTCTTATCCCCACTTTCTATTGCGTATTTAAGGAAATCTTGAGCTGAACCTTGATTAATTTGTCTAAGAATAGGTATTTATATGAATTTCCCATACTAGATTCTAACTGACGCCACACATTAAGGTATGTAGGAATGACTGACCTTGGATTCCTGCTTGCGTGACTTGTACTAAATTGAATGAAAACTAGCGCTGTTCGAAAGTCAGACCTCGGATGATATGGATCTATGTGTGACCCTTACACAGATGGTATTTCGCTTTTCTTTATATCAGATAAATCTCTACTGGGTGTCAAAGTCTGTTTTGAAGGCTAGCTCGATGCTGGCTGAGGAGATAGACGCTACCACTTGAGAAGTCTATACTTTTGTGTGAAACAATTTTCATAAGTAGGAACTCCCCAAGGTTGATATACAAGTTGAGGAGAGATAGGAAATTAGCAAGGAGCTAGGCCCTTGAAGGATATCTAACTGCCACTCCGTCTCTTGTGATTGAAGTAGCAGTCAGTGGTAATGGTGGGTAGTCCGCGGCCACAAATTTGCGGGATGATTCTTCAAAAGTTTTAAAATAGTATCTACACGTTTGAGACAGTTAGTTCGATGATCATCAAATCGATAATTTTTATGCAGCAGGAGAAGGAGAAGAAACGAACGTGGGGTAAAGAGAGAGTACTTGCAGGATAGGATTCTAATGAGGTATGAATGATAATCGTAGGGTGTTGGGTTATGTGATGACAGAGATGAAACAGATATTGAATGGCACGACTAAGGCAGCAATAGAAGTGCGGAGTCACAGGGTGAGTTGGTTAGCTTGTAAGCCTTGGCTGAGCTGCGTAGCATGCGATATTTGAGTTGGAAAGTTTTAATTGGCTGTGCTGGAGGAGGCAATTGTGATCTTTTGGAGCCAGATGAGGTAGCGCACGCGTTAGCCAGGAGATATGTGATGATGATAATGCCGCAGTGACCGACGTAACTTTTTAAGTTGAAATAATCTTAAAACAATGTTGGGAGCAGGGGCGTGGAGAGAGAGCGATAAAGCGAGCGTTCAGTGGAAGCAGATGCGTTGAGCGCGGTTAAGGTGGTGAAAATCGTGATGGCGATTTGGTCCGGGGATCGAGACGTACGCAACGACGGGGTTTCGACTGCTCGACCTGATATAGTGGGCGAGGGGGCGTGGTATGTGGGTGTGAGAGAGAAGAGGCGGGAGAGGGAAAGGGAGGGAGGGTGAGTGGGTGGGTCCTCGGGGACTGGGATTGCAATCGGTTCCTGTCACGGACGGGCTCTGCTCTGATCAGCTCTCGGGTCCATGTTCGACGGGTTTGACGTGGCCCTAGTCAAAATGCGAATTTGGTTAATTCGTAATTATGTTTTCCAGCCTTAATTAGTGACTTGCCCAGCTGTGACTTGTGATTGGGTGAAGCTAAAAGCGGACTAGCTAGTTCTTCCCGTTGCCGAGCGCTATGAGTGGACTGTCTCCAACAGTACTAGGGGCTATGACAGGCGAGCTGATTGGGCCAGCAACACGGCGTTTCTCGTATTATGGATATTGCATCTGCGACAATGCGCTTGGATATCTAATTATGCACGCAGGACAGCAAATTGCACATCTCCTGCACAGCATGGGGACGTCGACATCAATCGGTAAGTTTGGCTTTCACGGCCATTTGACTCTATTTCTTTAGCTGAAGCATCTCAGCATAGGTGTCTTGACTAAGCTACTAATCATTTGTAACGTCCCAAGATTGGCAAAGTTTACGTTCCGTATCTCTCGACTTCACTTGTTTCGTCAAACGAGTCTGCAGGGCATACGACTAAGACTAGCGCATTTTTGCGTGCTCTAGCAAACCTTTTTAGAGTCATCTATAGTCTTTCTCAATCTCGCACGGCGCACTTGTAGCCTCCAGCGAGACTGCAGCTTAAGCCTGGACATACGTTGGTGCTCCATAGCGCTCATCCCACCTCAAGCATGGTGAGGCCGCTGCGCGGGTGATTGCGCGGAGGGATACTGGAGAGCCCAAAACACAAAATTTTCCAGGACTGAGGTCCACCCACCATGCTGGCTATGGGTGTGCTGGTCCCTTCAGCTGGGGTTAGACATTCTGTGAGGACGGGGATCAATAGAATTGCTATACTAGCAGTTTCGAAGCTAGGAATTTCACAGATAATCGTTAATATTCCTCTGCAGGCCACTTCCAATTTCTCCTCTACAGCATTTGCTAGTCAGCCTCTGATCAAGGAGATGATCCTATTCTACCATCAATGTTGGTTAGAGGCAAGGGCTTGTGACTATCACCTAGCCCGGCTCAGATTCAAGTAACGAACGGAAAGTCATTTTAATTAGCGTGTTTTGGGGCAGGGATAAGTGCGCTTCCAGAAGCATTCCAGAAGAGGTGGATAGGGAGAGAGAATATGACAAGTAATGGAGGTCAGGCCGCTAATTGATCTGAGCAGCAGGGATGACGTGATGCTGCTCCCGCCATGTACATGAGTCTGGCTGCCAGGCATTGGATGACCCAATCTCCTCGTTTTTACTCAATAAGTAAATCTCTACTCATGATCACTAAGCTAGTGACCCGAGGGCCGGTTGCGTGCACTGGGCAGATCAGCTCCACCACTCACATTTTGATAAAAAATAAAGGTTCTATTTCTATTCCATTGATTCCTGGAATTGTCTTGTCGGCCCTGAGCCCATTACCTGAATCAGATGATGCCAGCTAGCAAAAGCTGGCAACTTGAGGCCTTCGTTGAATTGCGGCTCGGTACCTAGGTTAGAGGGCTCGAAGATTAACTTCAAGCAGATCCCTTCCGTATCTATCCCGGATTCAAGGAGAATCAACCAGGTCATATCATCTCCTATTTGGCCTAATCCTGAACGCCAGCTGGCGTAATCAAATTACACCTAGCCTGGGCCGTAATTATGATCAATGCAGCCTGTGTTTCCATGGAAGCCATGTGGCCAGGCCTGGTTAAGTGTTCGCGCTGGCTGTAACCCAGCTGCTAGCTTCGATATTAACCTTGTTACAATCCCACAACAACACCATGTCCTCAACTATGACGAGCTAAGCGTGTCTCTACTTTTTCTCAAATATCTTTTTCGAGCAGAATATTTGGTAGGGAGCCGTTGTCTCTCAATGGAATAATCAATATCATAGATACCCTCCTTTCTAAGGAAAGCGGTTAATTCATTTACCTAGCGCCATCTCATGATCTAGCTTTTACGAGAGAGTATAGAAGTACAACGACAGATTACAGGGCCTAGAAGAAAAGAATGAAACATACTTGATGAAGGGTTGCAATGGCAAAGTTCTGTCCTCTAATTTGATGTGGAAAGTAAAGCTCACTTTTTAAGCCATCAGAGTCACCTTTTAGGGAGTTGATCTTAAGGTAAGAAAAAATTACAGCCTGATTGATATCTCACATGGTCATGTTATCTCAATATATGCCACAAAATGTGACTAGAATGAACACCGTCATATCTAAATTGCTTACAATAGGCTAATTGTTTCGAGACCCGGCGTCTTTCTTTTTAGTTGACATATATGGACCTTATCATTGTTCCGTCCGACCCAACACGAGTCTCTTCGGACTTCGAGTATTACATTCTAGTACGTGGCATCTCAAACTGTCTGGAGTGAGCGAAAAGCTGAACAACTCACTCAACAATTCTTAAAGGTCTGTCTGTATCATCCCACAACCGGCATCTAGCACCCTATTTAGATGAGTATAGCTAACCAACCATAGAACTTGTATCACTCGGTCGTAATGGTAACTTATGCAAGTCAAATCAGGACTTCGGAAGAATAAAGTAAAATAATTAGCGATATCCTGACTCATATTCCTTGTAGTGACCAGACGAGCGCTTGCTTGAGACACAAAGTTATTCAGATCTAGAGCTATTCTGATGTACAGATCACGTGGATGATCCAGTGCCTTTTCTCCACATACATAGCTCCCTCGAGCAGTGCGGACTATCGAAAACTCTTAGCCGGTATAGGTGGAAGCATGAGATGGAACTAAGGTTCCTTACCATCTCGAGTATTACAAAGATTACGTAGTGAGTTTGTGGCTAGACCTCATTTTTGGCTATCTTTTACTATTAAGTTTCAGTCTTGCCTTGGGTATCTGAACTACCATTATGTATGATTTTTACTTTCAGGGTTCCAAGCTCTGATATTATTATTCTATCATGAAAATTATACGAATTGTCGGTCCTGATGGCATATCTGGTCAACCAATCTCTCTTCTCTATTCCTAAGTAGTTCGCATCTTCTCTTCCCGACACTCTAGTGCTTGATGAAAAACTCTCCATCGCGTTAGAATGTAGAGTTACAAGTTCCTAAGTGGGCACTAACATTTCATTGTTCTTCAAACGCCCTGATTCTGAAGGCGTTGACATTATAATCAAAATTTGAAATTTGTAACCCTTAACACCGGAACTGATTGAGTATCTAAAAGAAACCATTGAATTTAAGGGCGGAAGTTTGGTATCGGCATTCGGAGAGAGAGAGGTAAGAACAAAGGGCAACTTTGTCGTAGAACCTGACTGTAGGTCATACGAGTCGTAGAATTTATACAGGCCAAAAAAAACACTTGGTAGCTAAATCCTAGATAGTCATCAGGTAGATTACAGGCCACCCGTGGTACGTAGATAGAGCTTCCATTCAGTGATATTTTGCAATAAAGACGAATTATTTCCGAGAAGAGTTCGTGACAAGGGCTG